CACCACTTGGCCCACACATCTTAGGGGATAAAATGTCCAGGTCAGAAAGAATAGCTTTCTGGTAGGCTGAAGTCCACTCAGCTTTCGTTTTGACGTTAAACAGTAACCAGAAGTACACATTTGTCAGTATGGTATACTTCAACCTTATCAAATACTTGACAATCATAAGCAGCTTATGAACAGAGCGGACGGTCATGCACCCACACCTGAAATTTGGAAAGGAGAGGTAAGGAAACCTGCTCAATGAACCATCCCTGCTCAGAATGAGTATCTTCATACATAGAAAAATTAAGACTAGCAAATGTCCTATCGCTATTCCCCAGCTACGATAGATCCATTGGCTCAATGGGAGTTACATACACATTGACTTGTCATTCAACGGCAGTGAATTTCTCTAGCTGAAGCTGACAATATAATACTGGTTCAGTTTAAGTTCAAAACCCATTTGCTTAGAAATTCCCCTTGATCAGATTATCCTTGTTACATGCATGCTACCTTCATTGCCTTGTCTCTCACTGACTCAACTTTAACTTGATTTCATCTATTTCTGAATATGCCTTTCTTAGACATTCATGAATCATGAACAAGTATCATGTATCAGAGGAAACATAATTATACACTGTGCCCTGTTCCTAATGTAATATTTGCTATTTAACACATGACTTCTTGTTGTTTTACACTGTTAACATGCTACTTTTCATTTATTAAAAATAATTAAAGCAAATATACACAGAACCGGAAAAATGGCCTAAAATCCAAAAAAGACCCATCAAAATGAATCTTCATATACTTGTTTAAAAACACTACAAGTCATTACATTAGTTCATAAAAATAAAGTTGTTCTGCCCTTATTAGCCTAAAAAGTAACACATTACATGTAATATTGTTTCCTGTGATTGCTGTTTCCAAGTTCTGCTCCTAATCTCCATGTGTTGACTCAAAGGAATGAAGGGTCTGTTCAAGATAGGATCTACGTTTGATCCAACATGTGGAGATCAGAAGCAGAAACAGATGATACAATCCTGTCTGCAACCCATTAAATATTGTCTTTTTAGTGATGTAAGCCACCTTGGGTCCTTTAAGATGAGGAATAAACAAACAAACAAGATCACCCGAGAGGTAATATACAGAAGAAGACCATGTTTCTTGTCATTTCTGGTGAAAGAGCCTATAACAATATAATGCAACCTATTTTTAAAAATAAATGATATATTGACTAAATTGGCTCTTTGCCCAATTGCATACCCTTGTCCCTGGTCTTCCAGTGTGCTGATCTTTATGCAAATTCACGACAGACACAGAAACACATGCGTTGAGCCAGTGGACACTGATATCAGGTGGGAATCGGTGCAGATGGGTGCCTATGCTTTAAAGCTACTTCATATAGACAACATAAACATTCTCATCATCTAGTGATACTCACTTTGAGCTTTGTCTTCCCACCTCCAAAGATTGGGGGTAAGCACACCCATTCCTGAGACTGCAGCTAATGTCCTAAGACCTGGCAACCCCTGCATGCTGCATGCAGGTGTTTAAGACATTTATACTGGGCTTATCCCCAACCCATCTGAAGTATGGGGCATAAGGAGCACAAATATAAAGGTGATAAGAGTGGCAAATTAATTGTATTCAGTTTACAGTAAATAAAGGCATGGGCTTTCTCTTTATTATTGCATGATGTTACCATGAGGAGGAGATTTTTGGTCTTCCTCCTTCCATCCTGGGGTTTCCATGGCTTCCAGGCAATGAAAGTGCTTACATGGGAACTCCCTCCCACAAGAGGCCAGGCTTGTCCAACCTTTGTTGTTCTTCCACAAGCAGGCAAAGATTCTCTTCTGACAGGCTTCCCTTTAACGACTGGCTGCCTGAGTGAGGTTTTTAAATAGATTATTGTACCTTACTGTTCTGAATATCTTTTTGGTGGTGCTTTTGTTTATGTGGCATGTTTGATTCTTCTCATTATTTGTATAGTTACTGTTTTTAGCTTTAAATATTGCACTTTAATCATGGAAGCAACCTTGGATCTTTTTTAAGGAGAAAGGCGGGGTAAAAATATTTTAAATAAACAAACTAAATAAATGGGAGCAGAAATTTCATGGAACAGAAATGGGAAATTTTAAATTTCTGAAAATTGCTCCTGCCTATGTCTACATAACAGAATATCAGCTACAGTGCAAAGTGCTTTGTGGGCTACAGCTCCCAGAATAGACCAGGCTGTGGTCATGGTGGATGGTTCCTGGGAAATCTAATTCAAAAAGGCAACTTTTCCTAAATTTTGCCATGGGTGCTTACAAAGAACTAAAGAAAATGCCTATGTAGATGATCTCAAAAGATTTCACATTGAAATTATGGATGTAAGCAATGGGGGAAAAGGGGTTTAATTGTCTGCATAATATGTCCTTAAGTTGCTTCACATATGATAGCATTAATTTAATCCCCTCATTTGTGAATCGAAAGCCTAGATGGGTTACCAAGTACCTTCTCTATCCTATTTTACTGATATACAGTCATGCACTCTAGCATGGTCAACTTAAACTGAGCTGGCAAAGGTAGTCAGGGAAGGAATACAAGAGACTTGAGCCACTTTGCATTTCATTTATGAAAAAAAAATGTTCCAAAGCCTTGAAGCATCTTTTATCTGTGAGACCCTTGTGTCTGTAGCACTGAGAAGGTACACAGCAAACACAGGGATGAACAGGGGGCAGCCCTGCAACCCCTTCTGGGGCCGCACCCTCCCTGCGGCAGGGCAACCCGCCCCCAGTTCCCACAGAATTTGTCCAGGAAGTTTCCAGAACACCGCTGAGCCCTGCAGGACAGACAAGGAGAGCACCTCATAGGTTTCCATCTTTATTCAGAACCTCTTTAAGAGGATGTTTCACGAGCTTTGCTGTAGCGCCTGAATCAGTGGCTATAAGGGGAGGCATAGCAGGGGGGCTTAAAAATGGACTCAAGGTCCCCCCCCCCAATGTGACCTGCCGGCTGGGTTTTGCCCACCCCTGATGTAAAGAGTGCACAACGGAATTTGTGGGCAGCAGATGGGCATCGCGGAGATTGGGACCTAGCGATAGATCTCTGGATCATTTTGGAGAAGATTCTTAACGATTTCCAGTTCCCAGCTGGCTGCCAACAGCGGCAACTAAGTGGTCCCTGCCTGTCCGAATTCACCCTGATAAAACGAAGAAAGCTGCGGGCATGCCGGATTGAACGCGCTGAAAGACTATGAAGGGCTTTCGGTTCTCGAGTCAAAACAAATCACTGAGTTCTAAATTCTCTAATTCCAAGTGTCTCTCTTTTGCACCAGGAGCCGTTGGAGGTGGCGGTCATTAAAAAAGGAAAAAAGCAAAGCAGGCAAACAAATATAAATCAAGTAGATCCCGGAAGGGTACAGGCCGCCCACCCGTGTTTTTTTCCCCTCCCTTTTTGTTTTTCGCCCACAAACACAGGTCCTTCCAACCTGTAACATCCTTTCGAGGGAAAGAGCGTGTTAATTAGCTATTGTAAAAGGGCAGTAAAAAGAGTGGGAAGCACGCAGTCCAGTATTAAGATTTCCACGGAGGGGCAGTTTTTTTCTACTAGTTACCAAATCGTCGTTAATTAGAAAAGACAGCCAAGAAAAACAAAACCGAAACACGGTGACGCGTCGGCAAACAGAAGGCGCTGAAGGCTGAGCCTAGTCCGTCGGAAATGACCGCCGTCTTTTGAGCGATGGCTTCGGCCCCTGGATCAGGGCTAGCTTCTCCCCCCCCCCCCCCGCCCGTCCGGGACCCCCTAAGGCCCGGTTTTTCCCCTCCCTTTTTGTTTTTCGCCCACAAACACAGGTCCTTCCAACCTGTAACATCCTTTCGAGGGAAAGAGCGTGTTAATTAGCTATTGTAAAAGGGCGGCAAAAAGAGTGGGAAGCACGCAGTCCAGTATTAAGATTTCCACGGAGGGGCAGTTTTTTTCTACTAGTTACCAAATCGTCGTTAATTAGAAAAAACAAACAAGAAAAACAAAACCGAAACACGGAGACGCGTCGGCAAACAGAAGGAGCTGAAGGCTGAGCCTAGTCCGTCGGAAATGACCGCCGTCTTTTGAGCGATGGCTTCGGCCCCTGGATCAGGGCGAGCTTCTCCCCCCCCCCACCGCACGTCGGGAACCGCTTAGGGCCGAGAGCCGGGAAAACAAAGCCCATCGCTCACGCGGGAGTCCTCGCCGAGCGGAAACAGCGTGACATCACCCCGTCCACAACAATTCATCACCATCACCCTGCCCAGCAAATGTCCCGAGGCTCGCCCACAAAGCAAGCTGCCGGGGCTGGCTGGCTTTGATTGATTGATTGATTGACTGACTGATCGATCGGCTGGCTCGAGGTCTCCTCCTCCGCTCCTTCCCGGGCCAGACTTGGTCGATTCCCACCCCCCCCCCCCCAAATCTGAAATAGGTCTCTCCGTGGCATCCTGCGCCCTTTCTCTGATTCGCGCCTTGCTCCCTCCGCTTCAGCTCCGCCTGAGATCACCCTCGCCCCTCCTCGTCGATCGGCTTCCCCCGCCCGCTCCAAACCCCGTCCTCATCCAACCTTTCCTCTTCCTTCTGACAGTCCTCCCTCTTCCTCCCCCACCCAGTTCAGGTGCCCAGCTTTTCCTACCTCCGTGGCATCCTGCGCCCTTTCTCTGATTCGCGCCTTGCTCCCTCCGCTTCAGCTCCGCCTGAGATCACCCTCGCCCCTCCTCGTCGATCGGCTTCCCCCGCCCGCTCCAAACCCCGTCCTCATCCAACCTTTCCTCTTCCTTCTGACAGTCCTCCCTCTTCCTCCCCCACCCAGTTCAGGTGCCCAGCTTTTCCTACCCCAGCCCAGCGC